ATGACGTCACAAGGCGTGAAATCTTGATTTCAATGAGATGTTGCAATGTTGGAAAAGTGCATCAATACATCTTCGATTGTGTATTCCAGCGTGATCATGGAGCCTGGATAACATCGGTTGATCAAATCACCAAAGTGTTTGTACTGTTCGATAAACTCTTTTTGCAATGAATTCCAAATAACCTGAAAAAGAGAATCCTTCGTTACTATTATAGGGAAGACAACCGGGCGAGAATTACATGCAAAAAAATCGATGCTTCTCAGCAATAGTACTTTTTAGTCACTGTTTTTCAGGATTAAAGTGGAAAAGACTTAAACAAACCAAATATTCAAAATCAAAAATACCATTCAGCCCATTTAAATGGAGTCAACACACATGGAATTCGACGTCTGATCGACTCGCCAATTTTCAAATTAAGGCTCAAACCTGTAGTAAATTCTCTTCGTCGCATAAATGTTTTTCGACTTTCTTGTACAAGTGTTCTAAGGCTTTTTTGATCTGGGTGAAATAAATATAATMATCATCATCAACATCATTAGGATCATCATAATCATCATCACCATCAGACAATTRTCGCACCTCTTTTGATGGATACTCCTTGATGCATTTTCTCAGCTCTTGTTTGCTGAATGCTAACTGATATCCMACCTCTTCGGCCTTGACTCCCGCCGCGATCTTTTCCTGAACTCCCTCGAAAAAGATCTGAAACAAAACAAGATTTTTTTTTACGGAGAGCATAAAACGGATTTTGACGTCTGCTCATTGTAGATGTAAATCAGTGAATTTACATGTCTCATGCGTCTGCCTATCCATCTGTCAATCACTAGATGAATCAACCCTGAAACTGTGGAATAATTTGTATTTGCCAGTCGCAGAAACTAATTATGATCGTTACTCAAGCGGTTGTTGCTGAATTTATTACCGCTGGCAATAAATTCAGCAACAACCGCTTGAGTAACGATCATTTGGATGAATTTCGTAATATCAAGTGCTTTTTAGTGTCTAAGAGGACATTTCAGCGTATATTTCAGATAAGTAAAACTTTACAATTTATTATCGACTATCTTATGTTGGATAAATTAAGCAATTTTTGGATCTTATAGGTCATAATTTCAGTTTTAGCGCCCTTGGCATAGCCTATATTTTCTAATTTGATGAGAGATTCTGTCTCTTCTGGTTAAAGAAAACAATGCTATTCACAGATGAGTATTCCTAGATGAAGATCATTGAAGCGATCATGCATTATAGAGTGGCCCTTCCTGTTTGCGAAGATTGCTCACCACACTGCGCCGAGCTGTCTGATTTTGATACTTAGTATACTTGACCATTAAATTACTGCAATATTCTTACTATGTTTCACGCGAAAGACTATCAGAGTGAACGATTTGATTCTCTTTTAAAGATTTGTCAAACATTATTGTATATCTAGTTCCTTCAAAAGCTGCTAAATATTACGTGAAAAGTAATCAACAAGGAGTTACTTTCACAAATTTTTTCTCTTAATTGATTTCAAATCACTTTGTGATTTATCAGTATAGATGAACTGCATGCCTTTGGTAGCACTATTCTTTACATCTAAACCAGATCCTCCTTAGAGCGTCAACTCGGTCGAACTATTTTTGAAAATTGAGAAAGACAGTATATTACATGGTTGTTCAAGTTTTAAATGAGCTCATTTTGAATAAGTACTGAATAAGACAGCACTTTTCAACACCTTTAGGGCACGAGTACACCCTGCTGTCAGGGTCTAGTTAACTTGGTCAGGCAATCGATTTTGTTGTTGTTGACAAATCGTCGGAACAACCGTAATTTCAATTAATACAGCAAGAAAAATCCATAAAGACCGAAATAATACTGTTCGACAAGTTTGTATACACAAGCACGGCACTTTGAGATTTTTCGGTTGCCAGACGTTTTGTCTAGAAATAATGGTAAACGGTCACTTATGTTGCTATTCCACCAATACAGAAGTACATAATGACATAACCACAAGAGTGTCCATCTCGCATCATCAGATGTTGTCCGATAATCTATTTTTAGACAACCAATCACAATGCGCGCACATATAGCTATTTCAAAAAAGGTTGTCAGATAAAATGGCGAATGTCAATGGTCGAACGGCGATTGCACGACCGAAAGTACCCATGGGTTTTGCTAATTGAAAGGCAATAACAACTGATTTATRSTGTAAGATGGTCTGTGGTAAACATTCGCTCCTTTTAGTCTCCATTTGTATGTAAGGTGAATCCAATAAGTGAGATTTTGTTTATCAAAACAGTGTAACAATAGTCCCTTTCGGTCGTGCAATCTCCCTTCGACAATCGCCGTTTGCCGTTCTCCCTGACAACGTTTTTTGAAATAGCTGTATATCACGGTCCTTGTTGAGCTAGACTACTTCAAGAGCGGACAAGAAAAAGGAAACGAGGCGAACGAGGTAAAGCTTGCATTATGAGAATTTTACACCTTTTGCTGAACAACCATTTCTGAATTTGATAGAAAACATTCCATTACGAGCCGGAGATGGCTTTTTTTTGTACGCACAGCTGGAATCAACCGGCTCTGAGAGCCGGTTGATTCCAGCTGTGCGTACTATAAACGTCAGTTCATGTGGACAGAGAGTATAGCAGAGGTGTTAAGATTAAATTAACTTTCTTCGTAAAGGTCAGCGTAGAAGGTCAAAATAAATCATAAAACTCTTTGCAGTAAACATTGTGTAACAATACTGTTAGCGCAAGACAATTTTGCGATTGAGGCCGCAATTTTATGGTCAAATAGAAGCGGTCACAAAACATACCTGAGGTGCTGTAAACGTAAAGAGATTGAAACCAACCAGAGATCAAGTGTATCATTAACTGACAACCCACCTATATTTTGGTCATTGCGGAGATGCATTTATAGAAATACACAGCAAAACGTTTTCTCTCGCAGAGTTACGGGCGAATCACCTAGTATAGCTCCACTGGTTTCGGGCGACGACACCTTGGAACCACGAAGGAAAGATTCCATTTTGAAGCGATATTTTTACGGCTTACTACACTAAATACGCTGTATGAAAATACACTACAAAACGTCGGCTCTCGCAGTGTTACGGGCGAATCGCCTAGTAACTCCACTGGTTTCGGGCGAAACACCTTGAACTACCACGAAGGAAAGATTCCATTTTGAAGCGATATTTTTACGGCTATGCTATACTAAATACCTATACCTAAATACATTGTATAAAAATACACTACAAAACGTTGTCTCTCGCAGAGTCACGGGCGAATCACCTAGTAACTCCACTGGTTTCGGGCGAAGCATGACCTTGAAACCACGAAGGAAAGATTCCATTTTGAAGCGATATTTTTACCGTTGTGTCTATATGGCCGGTTACCGGTCAAGGTCTTGAAAATGCTAAATGGCCGGCAGCCCATAAAACTTGTTTTTCCCTCTCTTATTATCTAAACGAGCTTCCAAACTCCAAAATAAAACTCTATGACTAAAATGAGCGTGTTTTAAAACTTAAACTTACATAAACGTCGCGCCGAAATTCGTTAATGCAAGTTAGAGACATTGTGCGAACTTGAACCGACTGCCGGCCACGCAACAACGAAATCCTAAATGGCCGGCAGCCTATAAAATAAGAGATTTCTCTTTTATTATTCTTATTCAAACAGGTTAAAACAACATAATCAACATTTCTGAAACTTTCATGGTACTGTAGAGACATTATTCTTTTCGAGAAAAATCTCAACCAACACGGCGGACTGCCGGTAACGGCGGACAACATCAAAATCCTAAATGACCGGCAGCTCACAAAATAACAGATTTGTCTTTTACTATTTCTATTTAAAAAGTTAAAACAACATAATCAACATTTCTTAAACTTTCATGGTACTGTACAGACATTTCTCTATTCGAGAAAAATCTCAACCAACTGACGGCGGACTGCCGGTCACGCAACGTCGAAATCCTAAATGACCGGCAGCTCATAATTAACAGATTTTTCTTTCCATGCATCTTTTATTATTCAAATTTAAGAGTCAAAGTTCCAACTGTAAGTACATTACTCTATCTGAAAAATCTGCATTCTTTACTAGGATTACAGTTCATGTTCAGATGGTTATGGCTGGGTGGCAGACAGCTCACATGATAATGTTGTATTTAAAATGATATATGATGATGATGTTGTTTGATGATAATGTAGTATGATGATAATGTTGTATGACGACAATGTTGCATGATGACAATGCATATATGTTGTATGATGATAATGTTGTATGATGATAATGTAGTATGATGATAATGTTGTATGATGATAATGTTGTATGATGATAATGTTGTATGATGAAAATGATACTGATCATACAAGATCATACAAAATTATCAGCATACAACATTATTACCATACAACCATTATCATATCATACAACATTTTCATCATACATTTTCATAATACTACATTATCATCATACAACATTATCATCATACAACATTTGAGTCATCCAAAATTTCATCATCATACAACATTGTCATCATACAACATTTGAGTCATCATACTACATTATCATCATACAACATTATCATCATACAACATTATCATACATCACTGCTATAGTTCTCCTATACTAAAGTCTTATTTCATCAGGATATGCATATGACAGATATGAGCTGTCTGCCACACAGCACTCACCCTCTGAACATGAACTGTAATCCTAGTAAAGAATGCAGATGTTTCTCGGATAGAGTAATGTACTGACACTGGCAATAATCCTTTAACTCTTAAATTTGAATAATAAAAGATGCATGAAAAGAGAAATCTGTTATTTTATAGGTATTGTATCTGATAACAAACTTAACTTTGGAACTAAACAATGGCTTGTTTAGTTCCAAAGTTAAGTTTGTTATCAGATACAATACCTGTAAAATAGCTAGTTTTTGTTCTAATAAGGACCCTGTTCSCATTCTTCAGAGGTCTAAAGTTATCTATAAATTAACCTGCCCTGGTTGTTCTGAATTCTATATCGGTAAAACTGATAGATCACTCAGTTTTCGGTTGAAAGAGCACGCATATCGAGCCGATCAACCTATGCATAAACATCTAAGTAACTGCTCTCTTTTCAGTGATTTAGTAAGTCTCAATGGAGTAACAAATTGTTTTGATTTCCCGACCGTTGTGGACTTTAAGCAACATATTTTTAATGCTGTTCACAACAACGTGGAAATTGTTGACTCTAGTAATAACTGGTCACAATTGTTATCACTTGAGGCATACTATATTAAAAATACCAAAGCTACTATAAACGAGGGACTTAAAGCCTCCCGGGAATTAGAATTGTTCTAGCTCGTGTATATAAGCTCCATGACCACTTGTAACTTTTAGCATGATTATGATTTTGCAATAAAATCGAAATATAGCTGTCATTACGATCTTCTGTACATAATTCAAAAGTTGAATTTGCACAGTATGCTTTCCATCCTTGGATTATCACTCGTCTTACTGTTTAATTCCGGTCATGCGCATTTCAATCCTTAGCCTGATTCTGGCTTCCGGTATTGGAAATTTCCAGAGCCCGAGGTCTTGGTCGAAGACCAAAAGTAACGCGGGCTCTGAGTACGAGATTGGACACAATCTTCTATCGAGAGCCGTATTCTGCGGCCTTTTCATGGCCGAAACGCTGATTGGTCTAGAGGACAAAGGAAGTGACAAATATATATAATTATTATGTTACCGAACGACGCTATGACTCTTGATATAAGTGAATAACAGTTTGGGAAAGCTTTTAAAGTACCCTTGTTCCATAGGCTTGTCTTTTATTCTTTTTTTTTACTACGTTATCAAGCGAAGCGGTTCGTTTTTACGCGTGCAAAAACAAATATACACCGACCTATAACGAATTAAAACAATTCAAGATTATAGTGATCAATCCTCTAGAGCCGTTATTAGACGTCCACAAGTTGAGAATCTGGTAAAAATCGGCATAAAAGCTGCGACTTTTAAAATCATGCAATAGATAAATTATGACATATACCGCCACATCGCGAAAACAAGCAAATCGGAACCGCTTTTAATCGGCTTGAAGGCTTGAATTTATTGTCACGCGTCACGCATTGCAAGGGGGCGGAACGGCTCTCGATAGAAGATTGTGTCAGGCTCTCTCTCCTTTCTCGCTACGCCCCAAACCTCTTCGAGAGAGCCTGATACTCAGGCTTCTGCATTTTATGACTCGTGACCCGGCCTAGGGCCAGGTCACGAGTAAATAGCTTTGTAAAAAGGGGGGAAATAAGTCTAAAAGATGACCAAATAAGACGAGTGCGAAAAATGTCACAAAAAGTCAGTCAAAAATTCTTTTAGCAAAATGATGTTTGACTAAAATTGAATATTGTGAACTCAACATTGCTTATGTTAATTGGCGTATTGCTATTCCACCAATCCAGATCTGAAAAGTCCGTGCGCTGTCAGCTTTATAAAGACTACATTTCTACATATTTCAACGAACTGACTAAGAATGGATAGACAACCCAAAAGAGAACAAATTAATACCATTCTAATAGCAAACCGTGGTGAAATAGCCTGCAGAATTGCGGACACGTGCAAAAAACTTGGAATCAACACAGTGACTGTTTTCACAAAGCATGACGAGTCATCCTTACACTGCCGAATTTCAAAGTCATCGCATTTGATTTCTTCTTATACTGACACCAAAGAATACATCAGAGTAGCCAAGCTAACAAATGCAGACGCAATACATCCGGGATATGGGTTCATGTCAGAAAATGCAGACTTCGCATCGCTATGTGCACAAAATGCCATCATATTCATTGGACCAAGTCTCGAATCTATTAAAACGTTTGGTAATAAGCACCACGCTAAGCAGATTGCTTTGAAAGCAGACATTCCCATAATTCCAGGTTCAGGAATACTTAGTGGCCCAGAAGAAGCTTTGCAATGGGCAGCGAGAATTGGTTATCCTGTGTTGTTAAAGTCAGTGGGTGGTGGTGGAGGGATTGGTATTCGCCCATGTTTCAGTGAAATAGATGTACGTACAGATTAAGCCGTAAAGGTAATACGAGCAGCAAAATTATCGTCCAACTTGTCTCGCTACCGACATTGCTGTAAGGCAAGTTGAAAAGTACTGATTACGCAAAGCATCCCTTTCCAACTAGCCTTGCAGCAATGTTGAACCAACTCGTCTCCAGAAAAATAATTTGTTGCAGGTTGAAAAAAACTATTGCATGCAGAAAGTAGAAGATCGTTTTACTTTTTGCAAGAAAATGTGTCGATGTTGCTCGTATTACCACAACAACCCAACTACCGGAACAAATTATTTTGATGCGAGACAATTTGGTTCACTTGTTTTGCAGTAATGTTCCGAGAGAAGTTGGACGATTTTGCTGCTCGTATTACCGTAACTCAATAAGTGTTACGTAGTACTTTCCATGTTGGTACCCAAACTTAAATTGAACATAAGCCGCCCAATTACTACATGAGAAGAAGAAAAGAACGAATGTGCATGCTTTTAATTATGCATATGTTTTCGGCGCGCGCTCTTAGCAACATGCGGATTACCTGCGGTACTACGTCACGATCCCTTGCCTCGCGGGTCTGCACACTAGACTGTGACAGAGTATGAAACGCTGGTCACGTGATGGATCGATATGTGCCCCAGGTATCTTGTCCAGCGTCACAGACTAGTTGGGAGCGCCTAGCTTAACCTCGCGTCTGCATATGGCTGAGCAATGAGTGAACGTTCGATATTTGAGAACTTTGAAACGTCTGCAGATGCAGTTTCGGTGGTCATATAATAATTATGCGATGTGCGAACATATCTTATAAAAGTATTTCATGATTTCGATAGCAAATTCTACGGTATTATAGTATTAAAACTGCCTCCGTCGATGTTTGATTAACTGTTCTTAAAATCATCGTGTCTTTCAGATTGCTAATGAGTTTAACCCACTATGTTCATTGGTTGAAAAGCAGTTTGGTGATGGGAGGTTAATAATCGAGAAATATCTTCCATGTGCGCGTCACATTGAAGTCCAAATATTTGGAGATGGAAAAGGTAGCTGCGTCAATGCCATTCCCCAATTTACCTCCAGTTGGAGGCTGTTAAGGACCAAGACGACGGGCATTTAAGAGATGTCTGTCGTCTGCAGGAAATCACTTCAGGATCCTCTGCCAAACAGAGGAGTGCTCGGTCTTTATTTTGCTCATTGCATTCTGGAAAGACCTCAGAGAAGTTAATCTGTACTGTGTCTTGCGTCTCGATCAGATATGCTTAGCGTAAAAGACACAAATACATCCACTAGGTCAATAATTGTATTGTTGTTCCCAAGGATAATAAATGCGCGCGTTAAGATGTCATGTTCTATCTCTTCAGGTAATATCGCAGTCCTTGGTGAACGAGAGTGCTCCACCCAGCGACGATATCAAAAAGTCATCGAGGAAGCACCTGCCCCAAACCTTGATAATGACATTAAACAGCGCTTATTTGAAGCATCTCGTCGCCTTTGCTCAATCGTAAGCTATTGACTTTTCTTAAAATTCTAGTAAAAGCGGGAATAGTTCCTAGGTAAAAAAAATGAATAAACAACAATTTACACATAGATTCGAGGCTATTCCCGCCTGTACTGTAAATGTAAGAATAGTCAATTAACAAAGGGAACAGAATAGAATAAACCAATACAATACAGCGACCGCGCATGCTGGTGTTGTCCTATATTTCCGGGTAATCATTACCATGCAACCAAGCTCATGACAATACTCCAGTTTCGAGATCTTATTTGTGCAGCCTTAACCTCGARAGCATGYWATATATTCTTTTATTCAGCAGAGATCCTATTGTAATGCAAACACTCTGTGTACAAATAAGACAATAATAGCAGAAAAGAGAATTCGAAACTGGAGTATTGTGAGACAAATTCTAAACTGAACAGTTGATTAACGTTTTTTGTCTGTGTTAGGCAAAATACGAATCTGTTGGCACTGTGGAGTTTATTGTTAATGTTGATCAGAACACCAGCTGTGAATTCTATTTTATGGAAGTAAATACTCGCATACAGGTTGAGCATCAAGTTACCGAGCTAACACATGGCAACTTAGATATTGTTGAGCTGATGATTCGACAATGTACTACCGATAACTCCAGCATGGATGACATTGAAAAGAGGTACCAATCCAACGGCCATGCCATAGAAATTCGCATCTACGCTGAAGACCCACACAGTGGATTTACAGCTAGTTCAGGAGTTATCCAAGAATTTTCCTTCCCAATTCAACACAGAGGCTTCAAGCTGTGGTCGACGGTCCAAAGAGGAACTGAAATTGGTATGCTGTACGACCCCATGATTGCAAAGGTCCTTCAGTGGGGTCCTACTAGAGAAAAAGCCATTGAATTGCTCCTTGATAGTCTTGAAAATGCTCAGGTCTATGGCCCCGTCAACAATCTAGAATACGTTATGGAATTTATGAAAACAAAGTCATTTGCCAGCGGTCAAGTGATGACAACAACTTTGGAAAGCTTTCAGTTCGCTCCAAATGCCTTTAAAGTCGTTAAATCAGGATTTTTAACGTCAGTTCAATGTTATCCTGGAAGAGAGAAAAGGGGCCTTTGGCGTGTGGGAGTTCCTCCTTCCGCGGCAGCCGATTCTCTCTCTTGTAAGCTGTCTAATCGCTTGGTTGGTAACAATCTTGACGAAGCAGTCTTGGAATGCACAATTAAGGTAAGTCCTCATCGATCGAATAAACCACGATATATTAATACACAATGCCTGGCCATTTCACAATAAAACTACAGTCCTTAAAATTTGATGTTTGTGTGTTTTTCTGTATTCCCAGGGCCCAACTCTTAAGTTCTTTAGAGAAGCAATAATCTGCCTTACTGGTGCTCAAGCTGAATTTCTTGTTGATGGTAAGCTAACACCAATGTGGAAAAGTATCTGCGTTCCTCAAGGAGGAACTGTAGAGATTGGTAAATTATCTGGAAAGACGGGCAGCCGTATGTATTTGTCAATCAAAGGCGGTATCGACGTGCCTACGTACTTGGGCTGTAAATCTACTTTCTTAAACGCATCGTATGGTGGATACCAAGGACGGAAAATCCTACCAGGAGACCTCATAAAGATTGGAGCAAGCAATGGTGATTCATCATTTAATGTTCTTGAGAGAATTCCCGTGTTTACTAACGACTGGGAGGTCAAGGTTTTGCCTGGCCCTTATGCAAATCCCGACTACTTCACTGATGCTGGTATGGAATCGTTCTACTCGACACAGTGGAAAGTCCACCATGAATCGAACAGACTGGGAATACGACTTCTTGGACCATCGCCTTCATTTTCAAGGACAGATGGCGGAGAAGGAGGCAGTCATCCATCAAATGTCCACGACTATGTATATTCTATTGGCTCAGTGAATTTTACAGGTAAAAACTGTAAAAAAAGAAAAATTTTTAGTTTATAAATGCCGAAATAGAAGTCACAACTTTTGCCTCCAAACTTTGCATGCAACAAGCCTGGGACATCCTTCAAAATGGCTAGAACTTTAACCATAATGCACTTGCCAGGCAATTTGGCAATAGCTAATAAACTCGGACATCCACATCAGAAACTGATCATGTTGGGACCGGAAACACCAAACGTATATATACATATACACATCAATCTTTTCATTCTTTACAGGTAACATGCCAATCATCATTGGTACGGATGGACCAAGTTTAGGAGGTTTTGTTTGCCCCTGTACTATAACAGAAGCCGAATTATGGAAGGTTGGCCAATTTCGTCCAGGTGATACAGTACAATTTGTTAAAACGACCATCGACAGCGCTTTAAAAGAGAGGAACGAACAGGAAGAAGGAATCAAGACATTATGGAATTCAGACGAACAACTGATAACATCACACAAAACGGCATTGACAACACAAGCAATCCTAAAACACGTCCCTACGTCATCAAGTCATCCAGGAATGCACATACGACTATCAGGCGATAGATATGTCCTAGTTGAGTATGGACCCATGGTACTGGACCTTACCCTACGATTCCGTGTTCATTTTCTTGAAAAACGCCTGCTAGAATCAAGTATACATGGAATAGAAGAAACAGCCCCAGGTGTACGGTCAATCCAAGTGCGATTTGATGCAATGGTGATATCATTTGACAACCTTGTGGATGTCATTAGTAAAATTGATGAACATCTTCCTGATATCACAAAGCTTGTTGTACCAACACGTGTTATACATCTCCCGATGTGTTTCAACTACAGCGGGGTGGACATGGCCATACGACGTTACATGGACAGTGTTCGACAAAATGCTCCCTACTTGCCTTCTAACATTGAATTCATTAGGAGGAACAATGGCTTAGAAAACATAAAAGATGTAAAGACAAGGGTGTTTTCAGCCTCCTATATGTGTTTAGGTAAGGGGTCCTATATGGTAGGTTCAAATGGAGGGACGAGGGTTCAAAATCTACACCACGCTGGGGTGTGTGGCTTGCTTGCACACTTTCGCACGCCGATACACCATTGTAGTCCATTGCTTTGAATATATTGCTGAATATATCGCTCGTTTGTTGGCAATTGTTTATTGTATCTTCTATTTTCCCATTACGACCAATCCCTCGTAAGAGGATTATGTGATAATATATAATAATATTCTATGTTAAGCCCTGGCAAGAACAAAGGGAACTCGGGCCTGGAGACGGGAAGTCCCATGCCTTAACAACTAGAGCGTCACGTCACATCTCTCTCGCTTTTGCACTATACTATATAAATCCTGACTAACCTAATATTCTCAGGTCTTGGAGATGTTTATCTTGGGGCCCCGTGCGCTGTTCCTGTGAACCCGCTGCATCGCGTAGTAGTACCCAAGTACAATCCCGCAAGAACTTTCACTCAAGAAGGAACGGTGGGTCTTGGTGGTTCCTACATGTGTATTTACCCGATGAACAGTCCTGGCGGCTATCAGCTCGTTGGTCGTACGCTACCAATATGGAACACTTACGCTAATGGTAGTCCACTTTTCTCAGCAACAAAGCCTTGGTTGTTAGAAATGTTTGATCAGGTAAACTGAGACGGGAAATGAAAAAAACAACAACAAACAAACAAACAAACAAACGCGTATGAGTGGTCTACCACTCTCATTATGTAAAATCTCTTGTATTACGTCACGTTTTCCATCCAATTTTTATCTGATAGCGATCAAAGACCATCATTTCAGATTTAATGATGAAGAATTGATTCCCAATAAAACAGGTCCGCTTCTACGAAGTGTCAGAAGATGAGCTGGATGAAATGCGCAACAACTTCTCCATCGGGAAGTTAGACATCAAGATCGACTTCGAAAATTTTAGTATCGAGAAGTACAACGACTTTTCTCAAAGCATCGAGAGCGAGGTCGTGTGCTACAAACAACAACAGAAATCAGCATCAGAGATGATGATGATCAAAGAGGAGGAGGGGAGTCTTGCTCTTCTGAAACCAGACCAGCCTGAGGGTATCGATATCATGATGGTTGGTAGGGATGAAGATGGGACGTTAAAGGAAGGTGAATTAGGAATTTATGCCGATATTCCTGGTAAGTCGATAAAACGATATCCTTCTGAAACAGGGACAGTTTTTTTTACTATGCATCCAACACGTCCGTTGGGCACATTTTCATGATTGCATATTATAACCACTACAAACAAAGGAAGTTTCAATTCTATTTCGATAGTTTCAGCAGATTCGTCGCTTCCCTATCTTTTAAGCCTGTGCGCAATGCATGAAGGGAAGGGCTAAGGACAGGCGCTTTCGCTCAAAGAGTTATATCTCAAATTCTAAATCTTTTTTTTTTTTTGCAGGAAAACTAAGCCAACTAATGATAAATGAAGGTGATACCGTGTCCATGAACCAAGCATTGTTGGTTATTTCAGCAATGAAGATGGAGAATACAGTATACAGTTCTGAGGCCGGCTTCATAAGAAAAATTTATGTCTCCGAAAACCAAATGGTTCGAATTGGTACTCTTTTAATGGCAATCAAGAAAAGTGGTTCACATGATCACTAGAATGGCTCAGATGCCTTCCATCAAAAACTCATTCATCAGTTAACCAGACATTATTGCCGTTTAAGTCAATCAGTTAACCAGTCACTTTGCCGTCTAAGTCAATCAGTAAACCAGACATTAGAGTCAATTTCGTATGAGTGGGACACCGTTACCGCACGGTTACCGCACAGTTACCGGACCTGGCCTGCACAATTTTTATGAACCAATGGGCACTAGAATTTGGTTACAGTACTATTACGGTTACAGTACAGTACCGTCCGTTTCCCACTCATACGAAATCCTCTCTATTGCTGTCTAAGTCAATCAGTAAACCAGACACTTTGCTGTCTAAGTCAATCAGTAAACCAGACACTTTGCTGTCTTAGTCAATCAGTAAACCAGACACTTTTGTTGTCTTAGTCAATCAGTAAACCAGACACTTTGCTGTCTTAGTCAATCAGTAAACTAGACACTTTGCTGTCTTATAGTCAATCAGTAAACCAGACACTTTGCTGTCTCAGTCAATCAGTAAACCAGACACTTTGCCGTCAATCAGGTTAATCAGACAATATTAACTATTTCTAGTAGTTTCTTTCAAGTGAAGTGCTGCGAGCAAAGGCACTTGATATAGTGGTGTGTGAAAAATAGAGAAACTATTAATATTATTTACTATAAAGTAGTTGATATCTCTTGTATGGTGAAGGACTCTAAAGCACTGCGTGATTTTTAATAAAATTACATGTAACAGTTGGTATAACATATAATTTTCATTAATAACAAATTTGAAAACTTAGGTTATCTCTTATCTCTTATGAATCTCTTATGAAATCTGTCAGTATAAGTTTTCAATTGCTGGCTCTGAGATAGGGATGCCTCAACGGATTATCGCTGGTGACGTTGATCGTATGATATTACGACACTGCAGGCATTAAAATCATCCATCGCTCTCCCATTTAAGAGTACATTACTATCATGCGACACAGGGATCCCGCAAACGGCCTGTAATAGTGTCTCTGCTTGTAAGATCAGAGTTAATATTTTTCAGTGTTTTCGGGCAAATTTATGCTAAATTTGCACAATAAACGTTACCCTATAATCACGTTTTCAGCTCTTGTATTGTTCTTCCTTGACAATCTCCTGAATGTGTTGAGTTTTAGAACAAACGGCAATAAAGCAGCAAACAAAACAATTCCACCAACAATATGGAAAGATAGAATATAGGAACCAGTTTGGTCTGCGATATATCCTAGAAACATAATATGCCATTATAATTATTATTATTATTATAATATATTATGTCATGGTGCGGGCAATCGTAAAATATGATGGTGCAATCTACATTTAACATGACATAACCCCCTCCCCCTCCAAGCTAACATTCAAGGTAACATTTTTTAATGCTCTATAATTACTGGTACTGTGTAATTTTGAACAACCCCCTCCCTAATAACAAACATTTTTGAACATACTTTTTTCCTTCCCAACCCCACCCTAGTGAAAAAGTAAACAATATTGTGATACTTACCAACAAGCGGTGAACCTCCACAAACACTAATAGAAGAGGCAAAATAACCCATCCCAAGACCAACTGAACTCATACTTGGCTCCAAGATCATTTGAAAGAATAGCAACTGAGTTGTGACAAAYATTCCATTGGCAAAACCATATGCACATGCAAACACCACCAAATGCAGGTATTTCTTGGATAAAGTAGACAGCATGAAAGAAATGCCCATTAATAAAGTAGAAATCTGGACACCTTGAAGAGGAGTTACCCACTTACGATCAATTGTGATACCAATAAGAACACGTGCTACAGTTGAACACACACCAATAGCAGTGAACAAGTAAGATGCATCTTTACTTGAAATATTGAGGTCTTTAGCAAACCTAACCTTGGAATAAAAGAGCATTACAATTTATTATATACACTAGTTACAC